AATAATGCAAATTTTATTCCAGCTTCCCCAATTACCTAGCATTTACAGCCTTGGCCAATGCCACACAATTTATAGGAAAATTTGACCCGCGCACCTCATCGAGCACCACCTTACCACCTACACTTACTATTTTCAGGAACCTAACGGCATCGCTGGCATCAATGGGCACGCCCATTCGCTACATTTGCTAAGCGAAAAGGAAAAAGCACTACAGGCTATGAGCGGTATGACCAGCTCACAAATCGTATCCGCACAGGCGGCGAAGAATCTGGCATTTGCCGCCTCAGCTGCTGCTTTCACCGCTGTGGGGCCGCCAGTCTCGTCAGCTTCATCGTCCGCAGGGTCGACATCTGCAGCAGCAGTTGCAGCAGCGGCGGCGGCGGCGGCGGCAGCAACACATCTAGTCGGACCAACGCACTCACACTTGCATTCGCACCCGCACCCGCATCCACACCATCACCACGCCCACCACCTGAGCCACTTGAACCACCTAAACCACCTTAGCCATCATCACCACCACCACCACAACCACCACCTTGCCAGCACACATCCGCACGCGCATGCACAACAACAACCGCACCTGCCGCACACGTCAGCGGGTACGGCGGCATATTTGCAACAACAACAACAAGCGGTAGCGGCAGCGGCGGCAGCAGTAGCAACAGCAACGCAGAATTCCATTACGACGACAACAACGGCGCCGGCTTCGGCTACGGTGACAACACCGACAGCAACAGCGGCGGCGGTGGCGGCGGCAGCAGCTGCTGGTTTGCCGCCACACGCCGCACATACGCATGCGCATGCGCACACGCCACTCCGTCATCCACCAATGTATCCGGGCGTAAGAAAAAGTTCATAGTAATTGTTTACCGCTTTCTAACTCGAACGGCTAAATTTGTGCTCATCACCACAAAAAAATAAAAAAATAAAAAAATAATAAAAGCAATCAGAAGCCAATCTAAGCATTTTGCTAATTCCGCAGTAAGGCGTCACTTTGTGTAACTCGCTACGTTGTAAATAAATCATTTGATTTCCCTTTCATATATATATTTTGTGTATAAATGTGTGTATGTGTGTGTGTGTGTGTGTGTGGGAGGCTATAGTACCTCAACGACGTCTGTAAGCCAATAATTCATAGGTTAAGGTCCATATTTCACGAACATTTCGATACGTACGCCATAGCTGGGGTCCATCGCTAACGCAACACACATTGCTAGCTTCATCTCATCAGTATTGAAGGGGCAGCGGAACAGCGTAGCAGTAAACAATAATAAAAACTTGTAAGGAGGATAAAAATTTCATATTGGTTAAGGCTTCGTTTTATCGTCACATACAGTGACTCAAAGCAGTGTTCTTTTTTAATTGTCTTAATGTTCTTCAAGTCAAAGTTTTTTTTTGGTATTTTTTTATAAAAATATTCTTCACGCTTTGGACAAACCAGTAAACATGAATCAAAGTTTCAAACTTTATACAAAATTTTGAAAAATTTTACAAATTTTCATTAAAAAATTCGAAAATTTTAATTCTGAAATTTGAAAATTGCAATTATTTTTTTTTGCTGACGGATTTTTGCACTTTTTCCACATTAACGTATTTTTTTTATGGAATAAAATGCACAATACCGTTCAAAAATCACGCCAGCTTTTATAAATTGCGCTTCTTAGACAAAAACCGCAAAAGCCAACAAGCCCAGAAATGTTCTACAGATTAAGATTAAAAACTCGAAATTTTTATGAAATTGTTAAATTTTTCTAAATTTTGTATAGAGCTAGAAACTTTGATTGAAATGGTTTTTTTGTTAAAACATGAACAAAATTTTTACAAAAAAATAACAAAATAATTTTAGCTTTAAAAACATTTGAATATTTAAAAAAAAATCAACATGTGAACACTTGTTTCAGTCACTGTACATAAATACGGGCATGTAAATAAATAAGAACCTCATTATTATATATAATCAGCGGAGAAGTATCAATTTTGTGTTACTAGTATGTGTATAATAAACTTACTCTTCAAAATGCTAAGACCAAACAAAGCTAAAAGCTCTCATCATCAAACTTGCATAACCCTAAAAAAAATTGTTGGCTCTTCATATAAACCTTGCTTTTCGCTAGCACATTTCGTTCATAATTACATACTTATTGATGTATGTATGTATGTATTTTCATTTAACTTTATTTTATTATGCATATATGTATACATACATATATGTAACTGTAACTGAATTATTGTTGTTGTTGTTGTCTATCTTGAAGTTATATAATCGCTTATAAATAAATACTTCTCTTTTCCTTCTATTCTTCTTCTCCCCACCCATCACCCAACTCACAGCAATTCTGGCAGCCAGGTCTACAGCCCAGCACCTCACAAGAGTAAGTTATCTCGAAATATTTAACAAGTTGACACATTGAAATTGTTTGCATTGACCGTAGTTTTTACGATTACAGCATTAAGCCATTCGCACAACCCCCCTACCCCGCCGGCAAGCCATCGACAGCCGTGTCTGGTGACATCGAAGCAGGACTTCCGCCAGCACAACTGCCGTGGGAGGGTAGAGCGATAGCGACGCACAAATTCCGTTTGCTGGAATTCTCGGCATTCATGGAAATACAAAGAGAGGATATCGTAAGTGTTTCGGTGTTTTTTTTTATGATATATACAGTTTGTTTGAAATGTGTTTCGACTAATTTCGAATTTAATTTTCAGTATCACCGGCACTTGTTCGTACAACTCGGTGGCAAACCGTCCTTTTCCGATCCGCTACTCGAGGTGAGTACTAATTACTACTTAAATTGGGTCAGATTAAAATGGCTGCCTACATCGAATCAAGGAGGAAGCCAGCCGTTCTCGAGGGTGTAGGTGCTAGAGTAGGAACCGAGTAGTCTAGACGCTAAAGAGTTTTTTTGACAGATGTCACTCCATTTTTTCTGACTACAATTTGGCCTACCTTTAGTTTACTGGTTATAAAGATCGAATGGGAGGAGGTTGAGTTGAGTTTTAAAGGTGCTCGTTGGAGTAGTTAGTGGGTAGGAATCCCGTGAGGTTCGGTGTGTCCTTTTTATCCTAATGAATTGTTTCATAATCGAAGATTTATCCACGCACGTCGACCAAACTGTGAGTCCGTAAAACTTGATTGGACAAACTACTGAATTTAAGGAAATTGTCCAAAGAGATCCACAACCGAAATTTAAATAAGATTTCCAGGACTTTCGCAGGCATGCTGAGTAACGCTCCGGCAATGGGAATACGCTGCATTAAGTTTCCTCAACACCTAAATGCATTGGGTCGTTCAGACACTTTTCGAAGCGTAAGGATTCCTTTATAACTAATCGTGACTAAGTCAACAAGAACATCAATCTTAGGATCCCCTTTTCATTTATTTATTTTGGAAGGTCGAAGGATGCAGATACGCATCAAGAAGATCCAAGGAAGCTTGAACAATAGGGCCGGGTCATCCATGGTATATAGATATCAGTGGAGGTATGGAGTACAAACAGGAGATCTTCGCTCAGTTTTAACTCCCTTATAAAGTCCAAGAGGTTATTTGGTGACATAGAGTATACCTGATTGGGCTGCGGTCATAATTACTCTCTCAGATTTTGAGGCATTTTGCTAATCTTAGTTAGCCTCCTTCAACTGGAGGTTATCCTTGACGGTGAACTCTCATAGAACTTACACCTGAATAGAGCTATACATACAAAAGGCTAAGGTATCGATATGTATCTTCAAGGTGGCACTCTTGACTAAGGTGGCAGTCTGGAGTTATGCAACTTATTCCAATCCTTTTCTAATTGTAATTATACTGCGCCTGTCTGTGGAAAGAAGACAGAGGAAAAATTCAAGTTTTCCCCAAGTTTAACAAACTCCAAAATCTGTCAAAACAGAGCCACTGTGGAGGTTACAGAATCTCCCGCAGGTCCGGAAAATCCTAAGTTATATGTGGATCAGTAAAGACCTCTAACCGAATAGATATTTAATACTATAAATCAACTCTGGTCGCACCGACTAAGAGATTTGCCAAATTTGGTCCAGTTCTGCTCAGAGCGAGCCTTCTCTCATTTAATCTCATCTTGCCGCCTTCAAATCGCTTTAAATCCGTTGTATTGAAAATTGCGGAAATTGTCGAAATTATTACTTTTTTAACACTAAAAAATTATTAATTTTGTAATTTTTCTACTCTTATTTTCTCCCTACAGACTGTTGACATCCGACAGATCTCCGATAAGTTCCCTGAGAAATCAGGCGGTCTTAAAGATCTCTACGAAAAAGGTCCACAAAATGCCTTCTATCTGGTTAAATGTTGGGCAGACTTGAATACCGAAATAACCGGCAGCGAGACGGGAGATTTCTATGGCGTTACGAGTCAGTATGTATCGCAACCAAATGGGTTTTCTTAATTTTAAGTTCTTAAAACCCTGTGTTCTAACAAATATATTCTTTTACTTTGTATACCCCCGTTAGATATGAGAGTAACGAAAATGTTGTGCTCGTGTGTTCGACAAAAGTCTGCTCGTTTGGCAAACAGGTCGTCGAAAAAGTGGAAACAGAATACTCACGCTTGGAGAATGGTCGCTTCGTATATCGCATACATCGGTCGCCGATGTGCGAATATATGATAAATTTCATACAGAAATTGAAGAACCTGCCTGAGCGATATATGATGAACAGTGTCCTGGAGAACTTCACAATACTGCAGGTATACATATACATACATATTTACTACGTACTGTGATATGTCTAGACATGTAATACCCACCTCATTATCTTCCTGCTTACTCTTCGTTAAGGTGATGCAAGCGCGAGACACACAAGAGACCCTTCTCTGCATAGCGTACGTGTTCGAGGTGGCGGCACAGAATAGCGGCGCTACGCACCATATTTATCGGTTGATAAAGGAATAGCATGAACTGCCACTGCCACCGAGGCCGCCGCCACCGCCGCCGCTGCTTCTACTGTTGAATTCATTGTGTGTGGATAGATTGGGCAGTTGCAGTGTAGGAGGAAGCGTAGGAGGCGTTAGCAAGTGTGCTGATAGTGAGCGACATGGCAGTAGCTCCATGGCGGCGACGGCAATGGACGAGGGCACGGTAACCGGCGCGAGTGCACGCGGCTTGGCGCTCACCACGACGACAGCAGCAACAACAAAAGACACACATGATAATGCCGATAGCACCAGCGGTGTTGGCAACGCAGCCAACAACAATAGCGGCAGTAGCAGCAACAACACCAATGCACGTTATTTAAGCAATCTCAGTGATTGCCAGAATGTGAGCAGCAGTGGCGGTGTTGGCGGCTCGGGACGCGGTGGTAGTAGCGAATTGGGTGGCGCCACTTCCGTAGTCACGCCCACCATAACCCACATCAAACAGTCGCCGACGTCGCCAAGTCCGATGAGCACTGGCGCTGCTGAGGCAACCACAGTTGTCTTACAGCAGCACCAACAACAGCATCACCATCGACAATCAGACGAGTTAATGTATGGCGGTGCGAACGCGTCTGCTTCCGCAATAGTTACACATCCGCACTCGACATTGTCAACGCTAGATTTGGCACACCAGCAGCAGGTGCATACGCATGCGCATGCGCAACAACAGCATCAACTGCACCAGCAGCAGCAACAACAGCAACAATCACAACACTTGCAAAGGCTTGGCAGCTTAAGCAACATCAACACGTCGGCCACAAGCGCAGCAGCAGATGCAGTTTCCATCAGCCGTGGAAGTCTCGGTGTAGGCCCTAGCGCCATTACTCATCCCAGTTTGTTGACCGAGCGTCCACCACCACCGCCATACCACAGCAGCAGCAGCAGCAACGCCGCCATCATGACTAGCAAAGTATTCCATGCGGGCTCCTGTGCTGCTACCAGCATGGAAGCAATTAGCGGCGATGAGCCGCCCACCGCACGTCTCTCGGCTTACGAACAGTTTCTGAAACTTTCCGCGCACGAGTATGGGACAACGACGTCGGTCGATAATGCTGCAGTGTTGAATTTGAGTAACATCGGCAAGGCGGCCGACAGCGATCTGATGCTGCGACATGTTAATGTGGCAGCAGCCATGGCTGCCGCGGCGGTGGAAAGCGTCGGTGCGGTGGAGGGTAGCAGTGTTGTTGGCACTGATGGTTGCAAGCGGAATTAATTTGTTGCGATCGTTTTTGTTTTTGTGAGTAAGAAAATTGCATCGTTTACGAAAATCGTTTTAAGGCAGCGTGACCGCAGGAAAGGACGCACTATTTACCGAAGCGACAGACATTAATGTCTAAAAGCTTCACATAAAGAGAGCAGTATCCCTTGAAATAACTGACATTTCAGAGGTCCACCCCCAACCAAATTAAGGATTTTATGAAGCCTCTTTAGAAGAGTTTTCAATTCACTGCTTTTTGAATTTTTTGTTTACCAAGTTTTTTACGACTTCCCTTACGACGATAAGTAGCGTCTAGATGAGAATGAAAAATTAGTTCCCTTTATTCTCTTCATAAAAAAAAAGAAGATGGAGGAGAATTTCCTACTAACAAAAAAAGGTTTACTGTACTTAAAGTTTCGTTTACAAAAATTACCATACTTGGTCTACTGCTTAATGTAACGCATTCGCGCAGTATATGCCAAACAGTTCCAGGCTCCATTCTCTACGTCTCCCTAGGGCACCATTCTCTACGTCTCCCTAAAAGAATATGGCCTTTAAGTATCCCCAAGCAAATGATATTTCCCTCCTTTTTACGAGAGAAGCTTCAACGAACTCTCCGTGTCCCACTTTGATCACCTTAGCTTGGCGGAAATATTTTCTTCTTCATTGCTGTCCAGCAATCCAGTGCTCCATTGTCGTGGAGAGAGACAAGGCGATAAGCTGCAAGTGCAGCCACCAACTTCTTGCTTACACTCCACCGAGGTCAGGTTTTCTTCACCTCCTTCATCATGTTGTTGTCCACCAACGCGAGAGAGCCCTGAGACAGCACCTTCCTTAGCCATGCTGTTTCGCTGAAGCTCTCGATTCTACTAGGAAAATTCTGCCACGAGCTTCAGACATACAAACATACATTCGAGAGCAGTCTGGAATGAAGAATGGCTTTCATAGGATCAGGCGATATCCCAACGTTCGTTTAAAAAGGTAAATAGAAGTCCTGCTCGTCGAAATCGAAAAAAGTTTATGATCCTGAAAATGGAAAACGCTGATTATAATATTTACTTACCCTTAAATGTTTATTTCAAATTATTTCGAAATCGGTGTTTAATATTTTGTGCAAAATTTTTTTTCGAGATTTAATTTTTCTAAAATTTTCCAAATATTTATTCAAAAATTTAAAAACAAGGGAGCGCATTTAAGGAACGCTTAATTTTATTAAAAAATTTGTTTCCAACTTTCTATACAAAAATTTGGTTCGTTTAAAAAGGTAAATAGAAGTCCTGCTCGTCATGCTGTCCGAAGAGTACTTTATTGTTGTTGTATATGCAAGAGAATGACACACAGCTAAATACACATACACACACACACATACAAACACATGTACATTTATATGATCTCAAAGAAATGCAAGCAAACATTGTTTTTTTTTTTTAATTTTTGCGTTGAATTTCTTGATTTATTTGATAAATTTTTTTTTTATCTAAACACGAAGGCAATACAAACAAATGCCACTAACGCAATGCAATAAGGCAAAACAAAATTATGATTTAAAAAAAAAAAATATTTAAAATAAAAAGATTACAAATATAAATTAAAAAATTATGTATGTAATTTGTAAATAAGTAAAATAAATTAAATTAGCTTTTGAGTTAAACGTACATAAGAAAACACGTACATATGTTAGTGAGTACATATCCACGCCAATAGAGACCAACAGCAAACGCCGCAAATTTTAAATTAAAAAAAAAATATTTTTAAATATAAGTACTTTTTTTATAAGTTGTTTATAAAATTAAAAAAAAAAAATAGCGTCGCTGCTACTACTACATACAAACATGCTCACAGGCAATTAGTTATGCCAACACACACACCTACATGCGCATATTACATTTAAGTTAAAAAAGAAAATTGCCGTCGCTTTGTTCTTAGTTTTTAATATTTTTTTTTTATAATTAACTACGATGGATCTAACAAACACATTTTTTAATGTATATTAACTTACAATTTTGCTCTAAATAATTTTTAATTAAAATATGTTTTTATGTATGTATGTACATAAATGTTAATGTATATTTTCTATTTAAAAAATAATTTAACACATTTACACATTATGTATTTTAAAGTACTATGCAATATATTTTTCTTAACTTTTTATAATTAATTATAGAAATTGTTGTGCTTTATTTAAAATCAACAAAAAATTTAATTTTTTATTTAAAATCAACAAAAAATTTAATTTTTTTTTGTTTTAATAAACAAAAATATTAGCTTCTTCTATAGCTATGACTTAATTTCAAAACAAACAACAGCAAATCTTTTGTTCAAAATAATATGTACATATTTGTACGTTTTGTATATGTAATTTAATAATACAACATAACATTGATGTACGTACGTTGTAACTACTTGTTAAGTGCTATTTGTGCATACATTTTATAAATAAATAAAAAACCAACTATAACTAATTGCTGTAAAATATTAATAATACATTAATTAAAAAATTAATATAAAATTTTTCAATAAAAAATTTCTTTTGTGCTTCAAATTTCGCATGAGTGAGCTAGTAAGAAAATTGTGAAGTTATTATTGAATAATAAATTCATGCTAAGTGAATTGAACCATCCACCGTTTATGAAATGCGAACTCTATTCAATTTAATAATTTTAATACGAAAAAATAAAACAAAAATTTAATTGTATAAGTGTAAGTGAGTGGAAAAGGAAAACAATGTGAAACAATTTATTAGTAAAATTAAGCAAAATTATAAAGAAAAAAATTAAGTTAAGTAAAAGCAAAAATAAACTTAAGTAAAAATAATCAACAAAATGTTGAATTTGTATTTCAAATAATTAACAAATAATTGTAAAGTATTTTTGTTGATATTAAGTGACTTTTAGCTGAGAAAAATTAACAAACGAAAAAAAACACAAATAAACAAAACGAAATAACGAAGATTATTGAGAATATTTTAAATAATTTAAGTGTAAGTTAATTAAGTTATTTAATTACCAAAAGAGCAGAAATTTGTTTTTTTTTAAATCATTAAAACAAAGATGCTGAACAACTAGTACTTGCTTGTGTAACAGCGTATGGAAAATAAATAACTTAAAGGCAATTCATTCTACCCACTTTAAGATTTAAAAAAAAAACTTTTCAGTTTTTTGTGCGCAAATAAAATTTAAAATTGTATGTTTAAACTCGATGGTTTTTTTTTGTATGAAAATTTTTTTTGAATTTTTGAATTTTGAGCGACAAAAACCAGGGACCGAAAATTACCGTTAAATGTCAAGATTTTTATTTTTATATCATTGCGTTTTTATGACCGATTTCAATCTTTTATTATCAAAAATGATAAATTAAAAAAGGTTATATTACCGGAAAAATAAAAATCAAAAATAACGATCAAAAATTTATAGAAAAAATACAAGTAATTTTTCGCACAAAAAAAGATACAAAAAATTTCTTCATAATCCAATGATCGAAACTAAACCAAAATAGTATGGGACCCCTTTGAGGTACCACCTTTCCGACTAAAAAAACCTTTTAGAAAGCAGTCCGGTAACATATCCGTACATAAATCTTGCGTCTCCTCCTTTTTTTCAAGTCGGTTAAAAAATCCAAAAATAAAGACTATTCTTGATCGAAAGATATAAATCATAAAAAAGGCTTAAATTTTATGAGAAAAAAAATAAATGCAATTTTAACGTTTCAATTATGATTTGAATGTTATAAATGTGCAAATTTTTCTAAATCGATATTGAGCTTCAGATTTAAAATAGCAATACTCGTTTAAGGTCAAAAGCAGCCTCGAAAACTAGTATTCTCAAAAAACAATAAAAATTACCGAACTGCAAAAATAAAAAACTTTTAAATTTTCCTACTTTTCGAGCTTAAGTAATAAACAAAGTAAGTTCAATTGAGTTTTTTTTTGTACTTCCAAAGTTTTTTTCCGAAAAAATGGAAGCATTTCATAGACTTAAATTAAAAAAATAAATTTAAATATTTTTAGGTTCAAACTGATTTCTCTTTACTCTAAAGTTTTTACTCGAAAAAGTGTAAAAATAAATATCCTACAAACCAAGTTTCCCGAAAAAATAATCAAATTTTTAAGAGTATTGGAAGTTTGTTTCGAGTTCTGTAACGATTTTTTACGAATCTTCAAAGAAAATCATATGACGTAAATAGTTGACATGAACTCGTAAAGAAATCTCCACGATTTCGATAAGAACATTCGGAAAACTTTTTTTTTTTTAATTCTTCACATCTCTGCACTATTTCTATTGCTTTACCGAATTTCTTTCTCAAATTTCCTAAAATCATCGGAATGTTACAGTACAATACAACTCTACTACTCAGAATTATCTGAATGCTTGGATTGCAGGGTTTTTATAAGCTAAAAATTTGTATCAGAAAATAAGAAAATTGTATTTTTTGGAACCAAAAAAAAATCCTCTTATACTTGTTGGTATGCAATTTCTTCAACCAAGCAACCATTTCAACTTGCATTTGCGTTTTATGATTTCATAAAAAAATACGTTTTCAATACACCCTCTCCACAGTTATCGCTTTGGAAATTTATTGTCATTGTAAATAAGGATGCCGATTAATTCCGATTGGAATATTAAATCGAAAAAATTTTACGTTTCTGAAAATGGAAGCACGCCTGATTATGCTCTTTAGTAACGTTGAAATTTTTATTTAAAATTTTCTTCCAAATCAGTATGTATTTAAGATTTTGTTCAAATTTTGTATTAGATTTTTATTTTTTTCTTTTAATGTATATTCGAAGTTTTTCCAAATATTTATTCGAAATTAAAAAAATGTGAAAACTTTAAAATGTTGCGCCTATGTTAAATTTGAAAATTTAAACGAAAAAAGTTTATGATCCTGAAAATGGAAAACGGCTGATCATGATATGTACTTACCCTCAAATGTTTATTTCAAATTACCTTCGAAATCGATGTTCAACATTTTGTACAAAATTTTTATTCGAAATTTTATTTTTCTAAATTTTGCCAAATATTTATTCACAAATTTTAAAATTTTAAAAATTAATTTAATTCCGATTTAAATATGAAATCGAAAAAATTTTGCGATCTGAAAATTAAGGAACGCTTGATTTTACTAAAAAATTTGTTTCCAACTTTTTATACGAAAATTTGGTTCGAGATTTTTATTCGAAAATTTAAAAAAAATTTAATTATTTACTAGTTGTTTTACTTAAGCTCGAAATACTGGAAAACTTTTAATACTAAAGTAGTATTTTCCATAGTTTTTGACGTTTGAGGCTTTTTCTCTTTTAGGAGAATAATTTTATTATATTTGAAAAACTTTCAATCGCTAAAATATGTTCAAATTTTTACCACATATTCGCTTTTTAAATAAAGTTAAGTTAATTAAAGCTCATACAGTCCTCTCTTCAATGCAGTAAAACAAAAACAAAATTACTACTACAAAAAGACCAGCCACGGTGGTTAATATTTTTTAATAAATATTTCGGATTTTAATGTTTTTCTTTTTTTTTTTGGTTTAGATAAATTGAAATTATTGTTAGCTCCTTGGCTCTGAAACTGTCCTTTTTCAAGATTTCCATGATTTTATAACATTTTCGACAATTGGCTTTCCAAAGCGTGGTGCATCTTTCACATCGAAATTACCGTAACGGCATCGACGAAACTATAGTTGTGCGAGATGGGCTGTAACAACATCGGGATCATAAACACTATGCACATTTTTAGCTTTTTTTATGTTGTTTACATTTTGTTGCGGCAAAATGTTCATATTCTGTTACACAAGCAAGCCACAATGTTGGAAAAAATTTTTTAACCATGAACTAAAATATTCAAGACCAAAATCATTTGCGCCAATTTCCTTCAAACAAAAACTTATAAAATGTAAATAGGAACAAAAAAAAATTGTCCGATGTTTCAAAGTTTTTACGCGATTTATGATTGAAAAAAATTTATAAAATTGTCCTGAAAAAAATTTCCAACATAAAATTTCCTACAAAAAAAAGAAACAAAATACAAATAAATATTAAACAACACTTTAAGCTATTTCAAAGTTTTTAGGTAATTTCTGATAAAACTTTTTAAAAAAATGCCCCGAAAAAATTTTGCATTTTTATGAAATATCCA